ATTATTGCTATTTTTGAAATAAGTTCTTAGTTATTTTTCCTAAACATAGAACAGTAAATAAAGAAGTAAAGTAAACAATTATTCCTTCTAGTTATGATCTTTTTACTCGGTTGCTGCTTGACATAGGTTGCTAAGCCTTTAAATATTTTGCACGTGTAGGATATGAAACAAAATGATTTTTTTAGGTTTTATAAAAATAAAAAACTTTTCCTTTTAGTTCAATAAAATCATTGATACCACACAAGAATTAATATTTCACAGATATGAAGATACAATATTTCATAGTATATGCAGATTTGAATCATATATTTTATATCTGACCCAACCTGTAGCATTTTTCACCAAATCTGCAAGATTTTCGAAGTTTTTCATCTGTAGACTCCTCTTCATCTGAATCTGGTCTTCCTTTAATCGTTAAAATCTGAAAAACAGCAACAGATAAACAAATAGACAAGACAAGAAAGAGGGTTTGTAAATAAAAATCCATATTAAAGAATACACTGAAATATTTTCAGACCTAACATTACTTTAATGAAAAATAACAAAAACGTTTATATTTAAAAACATTAAAGGAAATAAAAATAAACAGCTTTTACACAAACAATGAGTTTATAAATGAAACTACTTAGGTTTAACCCTTTCATGGTGGGCTCATGTAACTTGAGGAAATATAGTTCACAAATTTTACAACAATACACTCAGATATTTCTTAACGTATCCTCTCAAAAAGTATCTTGTACACAAATAATGACAGTTTTATAATTAAATGTTTTTAAAAAATGTTACTTTTCTGTTTTAGTCACTTGCATTCAAACCATTAACAAATCAAGTGCAAGGTGATTTTCATTTTAAGAGTAAAAACACTTATATTTTATAGTTATATCTTTATATCTTATAGTTTTCATATTTCACTTGCATAATCTCTAGAACCTCCTATATGGATATCAAATGTTTTTAAGGTAAATGTTTTCATTTCATTTTCTTTACCATATCACTAACTGCAGATGTTATCATCAACGTATGATGCAATGAGATGATGAAATATAGGAAGTAGAAAAAACGTACATACATTGTAATTTTTTCAAGAATATCTTTAAAGATATTCCTCTTGATATATTCGTAACTTCAGGTCTTTTCCTTTTCATATATAGTTAATTTTTAATGTTTTATTTTCCGTTCTTGTTCTTTACCACATAATTTTAATCTCGACACAAGTCAACGGTATCTTCGAGGCATATTATAGTTTCTTTGGAAGACATGCATAAACCTTTGGCATTGTTTTTGTTCAGCACATTACAGATGCAAAGTATGATGTACATTTAAAAAAATGTTTAAACATTTTAATTATACATTTTAAAACATAATTAACACAATAATTAACTAAAAATATAATGGTAAGACTGAAATACAATTTAAACTGTATCTCTAACTATAACATATTTAGGTAAGAAACAGCGATAAGTGTCATAGTTGATCAAACAGCCAACAATTCTATAGTAAATTTCATGTACTCTGTGACGAACACTTGGCACCAATTTCAGAATAACCATTGTTAGATTATAGTGTAAAATGATCTCTTTCTAATGACTATACACACATGTATAAAGCTAAAACAAATCTGTTGAAGGTGGGTGTGGCATCTGTCAGGGGTTGAAAAAATTTATTACTTGTTTCAACTGTACAAGTCAAAAGGTTGTGTAAGCACCTTATTGTTTAGATGTACTTCTACTCAGAGTTCGTGAAAGTGTTATCGGAAAGGATGGATGATATTCACCATCAAGTGCGTTCAAACTTGAAAACATCTGCTGATTCCATGAAGCTATGTTATGATAAGAGATCTACTGAAGTCAGCTTTGTACCAGGAGACAAGGTGTGGTTGTATAGTCCCAGGAAAACCAAAGGGAAGTCTCCTAAGTTATCTTCTCCATGGGAAGGCCCATATGACATAGTGGATCGTCTCTCAGACGTGACTTCCGAAATAAAATGTGGTCGGCGAGGTAAGCCAAAGGTGATGCATGCCAACAGGCTTTAGCATTATCTCGGTCCAGAAAATTTCAGTTGGAACGAAGTGTCCAATGGAATAAATGATGCTGCTGAAGATGTGTCACCTGAAAAAGTCACTTTCGAAGAAGAAACTCTACCCGGGTTTGAGAAGGAAAACAGTGAAGCCCTTGATGAAGTTACTACCACTGATGTGACTGTTACCGATAATAGGACATTTCTTGATGGAGCAGATGAAACCCATGTGAAGCAGAAGCCAATGAGACAAAGACCAGTACGGAAGAAGATACGTCCCGTAAAATTAAGAGACTTTGTTGAATTTTAATTTTGTGTTTGTAAATTCTGTACATTTAATTAAGTTATTGTTAATTATCTATTGGTTTAATATAAGTGGCTATTGTTCGGGACGAACAATAGTAAAGAAGAGGCAATGTTACGACATGCGCACTGAAGTTTCTAGAAGGATCGAGGAACCTCACGAATATCCCAGTATTTGCTAGATGCCCTCTTTTTTTAGTATATAAGCCGGAGATTAATTGAAAAGAAGTAATTGATAATTGAGTCAAGCGAACAGTAGGCACTGTAAGTAAAGTGTGTGAATCACTGTGAATTATAGCGTGTTTATAAAAGTAGTTAAGTTTAAAGTGACTGTGGAAATTCTGTGTATTACTAAAAGTTGTATCGAGAAAGAATAAACTAGTTTTAATTAAGAAAGGACTTGTATCGCTGAAGTTTCTCGGAAAGAATTTCTACGGGAAATTAAGAAACAAGCAGATATGTAACAGTATTATAACCGAAATCTGACTGTATTTTACAAAATACTAGACAACTAAAACACAACCAAGACAGGTCACTTTGTAAAGACCAGTTTTATATTGTTGGATACAATAAAATGAGTGGACATACACTGCATCATTGCAACTTCTGTAATGTTAGCCAGACATAACTAGAAGGTCAATACAATAAAAATAATAAATATATATAAAGTTATAATGTTATGAGTTAGTCTAAACATTTGCGTTTTCGTGTTATAATCTGTATTCATTCTAGAACAAGAAAAGGCATAATTTATATTTATTTCCTAATTTTTTATGGTGGTTGCGAGATCCGTCAAATCTACCGAAGCCGTACAGAGCTTAATTACTGAATATAACAGATAAAACATAAAGTTCTTTTTCTTAAAAAAGTTTTTGATAACTATTTATAAGGATTTTGCATGTGAAATTTGAAAATGTTGTGATGGATTATATATATAACCAATAGAAAGCAAGGTTTTAATCTATCAAATGCCATATTATACTACATTGTTTTCTGAACTGTCATTTCCTCTGTTTGTACAAGCTTCATTCCAATGGGAAATATAATGAATAACTTGGATTTATTTGTAATAGCTTTTGTCTTATAGTTAGAACAATAGAACAATTGTGATAGTTAGGGGATATTGTCTGCTTTTTCAATGTTATTATTCTATGTTCTTTGGTGCATTATTTAATTAAATAAAAACTATTTAGTGCATTACTACCATTAGTTTAAAAAAAATCAGTGTTGAGTGTCATTGAGAGTTGGCAGTAAAAAATAAGAAGACATGGCTAAGTACTTTATTTTTTGTTTTTCATGTTTATTCTTTATTCATTATTATAAAAGTAACAAAAACATAAAAATAGGGGCTCTCTTTAGGTTAGTTATAGTAAAATAAATAATAATATAATAAAAATGTTTCACGAGGCACTCGCACAAGCATCTAGGAGTAGCTCGTGGGTAATGTAATTCAGTAGCGTAATATGAGCTCCAAGTTCCTCAAGTGATTTACAACTTATAATGGCATGAATAGTAGTAGTTAGATGTGGTTCAAGGGGCAATCAAATAATAAAATTTAAGTATAAATAGCAGTATACTGTTACGAGTTAAAAGATGCTTATGATAAACAAATGTAGTTTCATGTTATAATTTGAAGCCATTCTAGAAAGAAAACGAGGGTAATTTAGAATAATTTCGATTTTATTTTGGTTATGAGGTCAGTAAAAATTGACCGAC